AGTGTTAGGGTACTCAATTGGGGTAGGGTTATGGTTACTGTTAGGGTTAGGGCACATGTTAGGATATGTGCTATGGTACATTGGCGGTACCCATTGGGGTACCTGTGTAGATTAAAATATTTGTTAGGGCATATTAGGGTGTATATTAGGGTATATCTTAGGGTTAAGGAACATGTTAGGGTATGTTGGAGGTACATGTTAGAGTACATGTATGGGCACATGTATTTATTAGAGTATGGGTTAGGATGCTTGTTAGAGCATGTGTTAGTGGCTAGGGTACATGTTAGGGTATATGTTAAGGTCAGGATTAAGGTTTTGGTTAGAGTATGTTAGGGTACATTCAGGGTACATGTAAGGGTTACCTGTATGAGTTATAGAGTATATGTTAGGGTTCTTGTTACCATATGTGTTAGTGTCTAAAGCATGTTTAGTGTGTTAGAGTGAAAATACTATTGGGAAATCTGTTATGGTTAAGATACATGTTAAAGCTAGGACACATATTAGGGTGTATAGTTTACTCTTGGGTACATGTTATGGTGCATGTAAGGGTTCCTGTATGGTTTTGAGTATGTGCTAGAGTACTTGTTAGGATATGAATAAGTGTTTTGAGTACATACTAGGAGGATACATGGTATGTTTGGCACATGTTAGGGTAAATATACTGGTACATGTATGACTTATAGTACACGATAGAGTACTTGTTAGGAGACACATTAATGTGTTAGATTTAGGGAACATGTTTGGGCATGTCTCAGGGTTATGGTTATGATTTCGGTTAGGCAACATGTTAGGATGTGTGTTGGCATAAGTTTAGGGTAATTGTTAGGGTATATGTAAGGTCTACAGTATATGATAGGGTTAGGGTAATGTTATGTCTAGGGTAAACGTTAGGGTATCTTTTAATTTTTATCTTTGGTTAGGGTATACATTAGAGTGTTTGGGGTACATGCTAGGGTATATGTAAGAGTAACTGTATGGTTCAAAGTTCACATAACAGTTACTGCTATGATACATGTTAGTGTTTAGAGTGTATGTTATGGTATGTATTAGGGTAAGGTAAAATTTATAGTATGTGGCAGGGTTTGTGTTACAGTTAGGGTATGTGTTATGGTTTAGGTATGTGTTGTGGTATATATTAAGGGTACATGTAGGGTATGCATTACGAAAGATGTTGGTGTTTGGGTGTAGTAAGGGTGCCTCAGCACTCAGGCCTGCCGTGGGGACACTCAGCCACCACAGGGACACTCAGCACTCAGCCACCACAGGGACACTCAGCACTCAGGCCCGCCATGGTGACATTCAGCCACCACAGGGACACTCAGCATGCAGGCTCACTGTGGGGATACTCAGCAGTCAGACCCTCCATGGGGACACTTAGCACCTCCCCGCCACATACCCAGCAGCAGTCACCTGGGAGGAATCCTGGGCAGCCTGAGGCACAGGGTTAGGTCCCCAGCACATGCCACATGCCAGCCACCTGCTGTACCCACTCTCAGCCTCTGCTGCTCTTTGGGAAGACACTGACTCCAGACCTCAGGCCACTGAAGATGACCCAGGAACATTAATGAAACCCCAGAAAGACCTTGACCTCCAGGAGACCCTGACCCCAGGCCTAGGAGACTCTGTCCCCCAGGAGACCCTGTCCTCTAGGAGACGCTGACCCCAGGAGACCTTGACCCTCAGGTCTAGGAGACCTGAACCCCAGGAGACCCTGTCCCCTAAGTCTAGGAGACATCTCTGCTGCCGCCTTTGATCTCAGCCCCTGCCCGGTCCCTTGTCCTCAAGGTCTGACCACCCCACGGCCACTCATCCCTGTCCCTAAATGCCCCTGGGCTCAGAGGAGGGGATCCTGCCCCCTTCTACCATCCACTGTCCACCTGACCCCTATCTCCTGACCCCTCCTCCTGACCCCTCCACCTGAGCCCTCCTCCACCTGATCTCTCCTCCACCTAACCTCCCTCCACCTGAACCCTCCTCCATCTGACTCCTCCTCCATCTGACTCCTCCACCTGAGCCCTCCTCCATCTGATCCCTCCTCTACCTGATCCCTCCTCCACCTGAGCCCTCCTCCACCTGACCTCCCTCCACCTGATCCCTCCACCTGAACCCTCCTCCACCTGACCTCCCTCCACCTGAACCCTCCTCCTCCTGACCCCTCCACCTGAGCCCTCCTCCACCTGATCTCTCCTCCACCTAACCTCCCTCCACCTGACCCCCTCCACCTGAACCCTCCTCCATCTGACTCCTCCTCCATCTGACTCCTTCACCTGAGCCCTCCTCCATCTGATCCCTCCTCTACCTGATCCCTCCTCCACCTGAGCCCTCCTCCACCTGACCTCCCTCCACCTGATCCCTCTACCTGATCCCTCCTCCACCTGACCTCCCTCCACCTGACCTCCCTCCACCTGACCTCCCTCCACCTGATCCCTCCTCCACCTGACCTCCCTCCACCTGATCCCTCCTCCACCTGATCCCTCCTCCACCTGACCTCCCTCCACCTGACCTCCCTCCACCTGACCTCCCTCCACCTGATCCCTCCTCCACCTGATCCCTCCTCCACCTGACCTCCCTCCACCTGACCTCCCTCCACCTGATCCCTCCTCCACCTGACCTCCCTCCACCTGACCTCCCTCCACCTGATCCCTCCTCCACCTGACCTCCCTCCACCTGACCTCCCTCCACCTGATCCCTCCTCCACCTGATCCCTCCTCCACCTGACCTCCCTCCACCTGACCTCCCTCCACCTGACCTCCCTCCACCTGACCTCCCTCCACCTGACCTCCCTCCACCTGATCCCTCCTCCACCTGATCCCTCCTCCACCTGACCTCCCTCCACCTGACCTCCCTCCACCTGATCCCTCCTCCACCTGACCTCCCTCCACCTGACCTCCCTCCACCTGATCCCTCCTCCACCTGACCTCCCTCCACCTGACCTCCCTCCACCTGATCCCTCCTCCACCTGATCCCTCCTCCACCTGACCTCCCTCCACCTGACCTCCCTCCACCTGACCTCCCTCCACCTGACCTCCCTCCACCTGATCCCTCCTCCACCTGAGCCCTCCTCCTGACCCCAGTACCCCTCCCCTCACCCCTGCACAGACGTGGACTCCTCCCCCCCCCCCACAGGTGTGCTGTGTTCTAGTACGGGGTCGGATCATGCGGGTTTGGGACTTATTTGTGCTTTTCTTTTCTTTTTTCCTTACGGGTCTCGAACCCAGGTGGTGCCAGCCCGTCCAGCGCTCCGCCCGTGGGCCCTGGCGCCTCTGACTTCCCGCCACTGCCGCTGCACTGCCCTGGGCCACCGCGCCCGGAACTCCTAGCCCCGCCCCTCCCCGCGAGCCCCTCCCCACAGCCCCGCCCCCTCAGGCCCCTCCCCTCCCCGGCCCCGCCCCACAGGAAATCCAGGCCCTGCCCGCGTGCCACACCCTGCGACTCCAAGCCTCACAAGCACAGGGGCCACCTGGAGGGGCTTGGCGGGAAATCCCGGCCCCGCCCACCACACCCTGCGCCTCCAAGCCTCACAAGCACCACCACCTTGGCGGGAAATCCCGGCCCCGCCTCGCAGCCCACCCTGCTGGCCCCGCCCACGGGCGCTCGCTTTAACCCCTCCTCCTCCCCCTCTGCCACTCCTCCTCCGAGATTGGCCGCAGGACCCTGCGGCTGCCGACTCCCATGACCACCACCAGCGCATCCTGCAGCGCTGGCCCGCCACCATTGGTCGGCTGCTTGCTGCTGGGTCGCCTCTCGGCGCAGGGTGGGCGGGGCCTCTGCGGAGACCAGGGCGGGGCCGGGAGCAGGGCGGGGCCTGCGGGGCTCTGCCAGACCAGGCGGGGCCTGTGGGGAGGGGGCAGAACCAGCGGCGCTTTTGCAGGAGCAGGGCGGGGCCTGCGGGGCTCTGCCGGGCTAGGGCGGGGCCTGTGGGGAGCGGGGCGGAGCCAGCGGCGCTTTGCAGGAGCAGGGCGGGGCCTGCGGGGCTCTGCCGGGCTAGGGCGGGGCCTGTGGGGAGCGGGGCGGAGCCAGCGGCGCTTTGCAGGAGCAGGGTGGGGCCTGTGGGGAGCAGGGCGGGGCCTGTGCGTGAGGGGGGGAGGGGCGGGGCTATAGAGAGGAAGTGAGTGGTCCAGGGGCGGGGCTTCGGGGGACAGAACATGGGAAGGGCAGAACTAGATTGGGAGTGAGCAGGATATGGGCGGGGCTTGTGGGGCAGAGCGCGTGAGGGGCGGGGCAGGAGAGGAAGTGAGCGGGGCGGGGGCGGGCCGGAGGGCTGGACCAGTTTTGGCGGGTTCTGTCTGAGGCGGCAGACTCGCGGGCCGCTCCTCAGCTCCTTCCTCTGAGCTTCCGCGGTGGCCTTCGGGCCTGCCGAGCTGGGTGGGCGCACTGTGGTCTTGTGGCGGGCTGGGCTTCCGACCCGGTCCTGTCAGGCGCCAGCAGCTTTTCTCCGGAGGAAGCGCCTGGAGGATGCGGGCTCTGCGCGGTCACCTTGTCTGTGGAGAAGGCGGGACGCGGGGCCTGAGCGGACCGTGAGGCGCCTGCGGAGGACGAGCAGAGCTGAGCGGACCCTGAGGCGCCTGCGGAGGACGAGCGGAGCTGAGCAGACTGTGAGGCGACTGCGGAGGACGAGCGGAGCTGAGCGGACCATGAGGTGACTGCGGAGGACGAGCGGAGCTGAGCGGACCATGAGGTGACTGCGGAGGACGAGCGGAGCTGAGCGGACCGTGAGGCGACTGCGGAGGACGAGCGGACCTGAGCGGACCCTGAGGCGACTGCGGAGGACGAGCGGAGCTGAGCGGACCATGAGGTGACTGCGGAGGACGAGCGGAGCTGAGCGGACCGGGAGGCGCCTGCGGAGGACGAGCGGAGCTGAGCGGACCGTGAGGCGCCTGCGGAGGACGAGCGGAGCTGAGCGGACCGTGAGGCGACTGCGGAGGACTAGCGGAGCGGAGCGGACCGGGACGCGCCTGCGGAGGATGAGCGGAGCTGAGCGGACCGTGAGGCGCCTGCGGAGGACGAGCGGAGCTGAGCGGACCCTGAGGCGCCTGCGGAGGACGAGCGGAGCTGAGCGGACCGTGAGGCGACTGCGGAGGACGAGTGGAGCTGAGCGAGGACGAGCGGCCTCCGGCCAGGTGCTGACAGGGCCTGGGGTGGTGCTGGTGGGGCACAGGGTGGAGCAGTGCGTCCTGTCTCTCCCGGTGTATCATTTGTGTTCTCCTGAGGTGACTTTGGTGCGTTTAGGGCCTGAGCCAGGCGTCCGGAGCTGTCTAGGCCCAGGCCTGGGTGCGGGTGTCTGTGGAAGGGTGTGAAGCAGTGCGGCCGGCCTCTCCCGGTGTGTCATTTGAGCACATTCTGAGGTGACTTCGATGAAGCCAGGCACCACGGCAGGCAGGCCCTACACCAGGCAGGCCTCACAGGCCCCACACCGGGCAGGCCCCACACCGGGCAGGCCCCACACCAGGCAGGCCACACTAGGCCTCATAGCAGGCAGGTCCCACACCAAGGCCCCACACCAGGCCCCACAGCATGCCCCATGCCAGGTCACACACTAGGCCTCACGCCCCACCGAGAGGGCCTTGGCGGGAAATCCTGGCCCCGCCCCACAGCCCATCCCGCTGGCCCCGCCCACGGGCGCTTGCCTAACCTCCTCCTCCCCCTCTGCCACTCCTCCCCCCCCCCCCCCCCCCAGATTGGCCCTGGGCCCTGCGGCTGCGGAGTCCCATGATTATCACCAGCGCACCCTGCAGCGCTGGCCCACCACCATTGGTCGGCTGCCTGCTGCTGGGTCACCTCTAGGTGCAGGGTGGGCGGGGCCTATGCGGGAACCAGGGCGGGGCCTGTGGAGTGGGGCAGGGTCTTCCGGCTGTGCAGAACCAGGGCGGGGCCTGTGGAGTGGGGCGGGGTCTTCTGGCTGTGTAGGAGCGGGGCGGGGCCTGTGGGGAGCAGGGCGGAGCCAGCGGCGCTTTGCAGGAGCAGGGCGGGGCCAGTGGGGAGCAGGATGGATCCAGCTGCACTTTGCAGGAGCAGGGCGGGGCCTGCAGAGCTCTGCCAGACCAGGGAGGGGCCTGCGGGGAGTGGGGTGGAGCCAGTGGCGCTTTGCAGGGGCAGGGCCTGCGGGGCTCTGCTGGACCAGGGAGGGGCCTGTGGGGAGTGGGGTGTAGCCAGCGGCGCTTTGCAGGACAGGGCGGGCCCGGGGAGCTACTACAGGGCTACTGCGGGGTTCCCGACATGCAGACAGGGCCTGACTCCATGCTGGTGACCCCTACCCTCCCCTAGAGCCCCAGGCTGTGCTGGCACAGAGGCTGGTTCCTGCGGTTATTCCCTGCTTCCAGGCCCATAGGGCCTTGCAGCACGCCCCGAGGCCGCCACTGAGCTTCGTGGCCAGTGCCCACAGCCCAGCCTGGAAGGGAGCCGCCCGAGGTGAACCCAGCCCGGGGCCGAGCTTGTGCTGGAGAACGGGGAGGGGCGGGACTAGAGAGAGGAAGTGAGTGGCCCAGGGGTGGGGCTTCGGGGACAGAGCCTGGGAAGGGTGGAACTAGATTGGGAGTGAGCAGGTATGGGCGGGGCTTGCGGGGGCAGAGCGCATGAGGGGCGGGGCAGGAGAGAGGAAGTGAGTGGGGCGGGGGTGGACTGGAGGGCTGGACTGGTTTAGGTCGGTTCTGTCTGAGGCGGCAGACTCCAGCAGCTCCTTCCTCTGGGCGCGCTGTGGCCTTCCTGCAGAGCTGGGCGGGTGCACTGTCAGGTGCCGGTGGCTTTTCTCAGGAGGAAGCGCCTGGAGGACGCGGGCTCTGGGCGGTCAGCTTGTCTGTGGAGAAGGCAGGACGCGGGCCCTGAGCGGACCATGAGGCGACTGCGGAGGATGAGCTGAACTAAGCAGAGGACGAGCGGTTTCCGGCCAGGTGCGGATGGGGCCTGGGGTGGTGCTGGTGGAGGACAGGGTGGAGCAGTGCGGCCTGCCTCTCCCGGTATGTCATTTGTGTCCTTCCTGAGGTGATTTCGTTGCGGCCAGTCCCTGAGCCAGGCGTCCGGAGCTGTCTAGGCCCAGAGCCTGGGTGTGGGTGTCTAGGCCCAGAGCCTGGGTGTGGGTGTCTAGGCCCAGAGCCTGGGTGTGGGTGTCTAGGCCCAGAGCCTGGGTGTGGGTGTCTGTGGAAGTGTGTGGAACAGTGGGCCCTGCCTCTCCCGGTGTGTCATTTGTGTCCCTCCTGAGGTGACTGCGGTGCTGCCAGTCCCTGAGCCAGGTGTCCGGAGCTGTCTAGGCCCAGGCCTGGGTGCGGTGTCAGTGGAAGTGTGTGAGCAGTGTGGCTTGTCTCTCCCCATGTGTCATTTGAGCACATTCTGAGGTGACTTTGATGAAGCCAGGACCCACGGCAGGCAGGTCCCACGCCAGGGAGGCCCCACACCAGGCCCCACTCCAGGCACACCCCAGACCAAGCAGGTTCCACACCATGTCCCAGACCAAGCAGGTTCTACACCATGCCCCACACCAGGCCCCACAGCAGGCAGGCCCCACAGCAGGCAGGCCCCACACTATGCCCCACACCAGGCAGGCCACACACCAGGCAGGCCTCATACTAGGCAGGCCCTACACCAGGCCTCGTACCAGGCAGGTCCCACACCAGGCCCCATAGTATGCCCCACGCCAGGTCACACACTAGGCCTCACGCCAGGGCCCATACCAGGCCCCACAACAGGCAGGTCCCACACCAGGCAGGCCCCACACCAGGCGGGCCCCACACCAGGCGGGCCCCACACCAGGCGGGCCCCACACCAGGCGGGCCCCACACCAGGCGGGCCCCACACCAGGCGGGCCCCACACCAGGTAGGCCCCACCCCACGCCAGTCCCAACACCAGGCAGGCCCCACATCAGGCAGGCCCCACGCCAGGCCCCACACCACGCCCCACACTAGGCCCCACGCCACGCAGGACCCACACCAGGCAGGCCCCACACCGGGCCCCACACCAGGCAGGCCCTGCACCAAGCAGGCCCCACACCAGGCCCCACACCAGGCAGGCCCCGCACCAGGCAGGCCCCACACCAGGCCCCACATCAGGCCCCATACCAGGCAGGACTCACACCAGGCCCCACACCAGGCAGGACCCATACCAGGCAAGGCCCACACCAGGCCCTACACCCGGTGGGCCCCACACCAGGCCCCACACCAGGCAGGCCCCACGCCAGGCCCCACACCAGGCCCCGCACCAAGCAGGCCCCGCACCAAGCAGTTCCTGCACCAGGCAGGCCCCACATCAGGGCCCACACCAGGCAGGACTCACACCAGGCAGATCCTACACTGTACCCCACGTTGGGCAAGCCCCACACCACGCCCCACACCAGGCCCCACATCGGGCAGGCTTCACACCAGGTAGGTCCCACACCAGGCCTCACAACAGGCAGCCCCCACGCCAGGCCTCATGCCAGGCCCCATACCAGGCCCCACACCAGGCAGCCCCCACGCCAGGCCTCATGCCAGGCCACATGCCAGGCCCCATACCTGGCCCCACACCAGGCCCCACACCAGGCAGGCCCCACACCAGGCCCCATACCAGGCCCCACACCAGGCCCCACACCAGGCAGGTCCCACTCCAGGCCCCATACCAGGACCTATACCAGGCAGGCCCCACACCATGCCCCACTCCAGGTCACACACTAGGCCCCACGTCAGGCTTCATGCCAGGCCTCAAGTCAGGGACCACACCAGGCCCTATACCAGGCAGGCCTCACACCAGGCCCCACACCAAGCAAGCCCCACACCAAGCCCCACACCAGGCAGGCCCCTTGCCGGGCTCCACACCAGGCAGGCCCCACACCAGGCAGGTCCCACATCAGGCCCCATGCCGGGCTCCACACCAGGCAGGCCCCACACCAGGCAGGCCCCACACCATGCCCCAAGCCAGGCCCCACACCAGGCAGGCCCCACACCATGCCCCATACCAAGTCACATACTAAGCCCCATGTCAGGCTTCACGCCAGGCCTCACGTCAGGGACCACACCAGGCCCCATACCAGGCAGGCCTCATACCAGTCCCCACACCAAGCAGGCCCCATACCAGGCCCCACGCCAGGCCCCATGCCGAGCTCCACACCAGGCAGGCCCCACACCAGGCATGTCCCACATCAGGCCCCATGCCGGGCTCCACACCAGGCAGGCCCCACACCAGGCAGGTCCCACATCAGGCCCCAAGCCAGACCCCACACCAGGCAGGCCCCACACCATGCCCCACACTAGGTCACATACTAGGCCCTACGCCAAGCCCCACACCAGGCCCCACTTCAGGCATGCCCCACACCAGGCAGACCCCACACCAGGCCCCACACCAGGCAGGCCCCACACCAGACCCCACGCCAGGCCCCACACCAAGCAGGCCCCACACCAGGCAGGCCCCACACCAGGCAGGCCTCACATCAGGCCCATGCCAGGTCCTATACCAGGCCCACACCAGGCAGGCCCCATGCCAGGCTCCACACCAGGCAGGTCCCACACCAGGCAGGCCCCACACCAGGCAGGTCCCATGCTAGGCCGGCCCCACACCAGGCCCCATGCCAGATCCCATGCCAGGCCCCACACCAGGCCCCACTCCAGGCAGGCCGCACACCAGGCCTCATACCAGGCAGGTCCCACATCACGCCCCACACCAGGCAGCCCCCACGCCAGGCTCCACACCAGGCATGCCCCACACCAGGCATGCCCCACACCAGGCAGGTCCCACACCAGGCCCCATGCCAGGGCCCACACCAGGCAGGTCCCACACCAGGTCCCACACCAGGCCCCACACCAGGCAGGTCTCACACCAGGCCCCACACCAAGCCCTACATCAGGTCCCACAACAGGCCCCACACTAGGCAGGCCCCACACCAGGCCCCATACCAGGCCCCACATCAGGCAGGTCCCACACCAGGCCCCATACCAGGCTTCAAACCAGGCAGCCCTTACAGCATGCCCCATACCAGGCAGGCCCCATACCAGGCCCCACACCAGGCAGGCCCCATACCAGGCCCCATACCAGGCAGGTCCCACACCAGGCCCCACTCCAGGCAGGCCCCACAGCATGCAGGCCCCACGCCAGGCCCTATACCAGCCCCCACACCAGGCAGGTCCCACACCAGGCCTCTGTAGCTGGCTGCACATCTGCAGCAAGTACACATATCCGAGTCCAGGGCTTCCCTGGGTCCAGGCCTCCCTGAGTCCCATTTTTTCTTGAATCTGGGCCTTGCCTGCATCCATCCCTTCCCAGAGTCCTGTTCTTTCCCCAGGCCTTCCCTGGGTCCAGGCCTTCCTTGGGTCTCGGCCTTCCCCAGGTCTCATCATTCCCTGGGTCTGGGCTTTCCCTGAGCTCCTGGTTTGGGCTTTCTGTATGTCCGGGCCTTTCCCTTGTTGGCAACAGCTCCAGTTTCGGCCAGCTCTGACTAGGCCTGCTCTAAAGGATGTCCAATTCCTATTCTGGCTCATCTAGAAGTGGAGCTGTGGCTCAAGTGGTACAGCACTGGCACTGAACAAAAACAACTCAGGGAGAGCACCCAGGCCCCTAGTTCAAGCCCCAGGACCAGCACAAAGACATTTTTGTTTTCATAATATAGGTATTTAATACATTTTTTTTGCCTGTCCTGGGGCTTGAACTTATAGCCTGGGCAATGTCCCTGAGCTCTTTCACTCAGGGCTAGCACTCTATCACTTGAGCCACAGCACCATTTCCAGATTTTTCTGTGTATCTGGTATTTAGGATTTGAACCCAGGGCTTCATGCATGCTAGCAAGCACTCTGCCACTAAGCCATGTTCCTAGCCCTCTTTTACACATTACTAGGTACACAAAAGTGTTTCAATTTCCTGTCGGTGAATTCCAGTGGTATTGTGTTCCAGGGCCTCCCACAAGTTAGGCAAGTGCCTCAGCTCTTGGCCCTGGTTCTTTCTCTCTAGCCTTTGTTTTCCTTGATTTCCAGCTTTTGATGCATGTTGTCTTCCTCTGACTATAGGCATTTTAAGAAGAAAACATGCAGAGTCTCAGGATAAAATGGGGAGAGCCTGGAAGCTTGGAATCGCGAATATAGGTTCATGGTGTATAGACCAATGTGGGATGGTCTGGACGGATCGGATCCCATCAGCACTTGCTCTTGCCGCTGGCATTTCTCCAAGTCTGCATCAAGTTTTCATCTATACTTTCATGTCTACACTTGGGCCTGGAGAAGGAGGTGAAGCCTCTCCCTTCCTGCTTGGTAAGTTGATACCTGTCAGAACAAATTTGAACACATTAGGCTCATCCCAGGCCTGTATCCATGTCACCAAGTCTTTAGTGAGCTTTCAGCTATGTCCTGCATAAGGTATGGTGGTTAGGGGGTGAGAGGATGTGTGACACATGTTTATGTTTTCATTACATACACCTTACAGACATTTTGTCAGGCATTCCAAGGTATTTCAATTTGCTTTGTTGAATTCTGGTGATACTATGTTCAGGGCTCTTCACAGGCTAGGGCAACACCTCAACACTAAGCTCTCCATTTTATGCCTTAGAAGCCAATCAGTTTCTGTAGACTGGAGTCATGTCCACATTCTGATAAGGATTTTTTGAGGGAAGCAGAAGGCATACCCTAGCTTTTTTCTTTTCCTTGTCAGACATACCAGGTCCCCCTTGTCTGTGACAGGGCTCCTGGATGCCTATCCTTTGTTGGTAGTTGCCTGCCTCTGCCTGTAGGCACTTTGAGGAGAAAATATACTGAGTGTCAGGAGAAGCTGGGGAGAGTTCCCACACTTTGAATTACGCATGTAGAATCTTGCTCTACAACTCAGTGTATGCTTTGGCAGACTGAGTCCCAACTTAGGCTTCCATCCTCATCTCTACCATGCTTTCATCTGTGCTTATGGTACCTGGAGAAGGGGTGAAGGCATTTGTGAGGAAGGGAGGCCTACTCCTTCCTGCTTGGTAAGTTGTTACTAGTCAGAACAACTTTGATGATTCTAGGCCCCAACCCTGCCGTCTGTCCTGTGCTGTGAGCTAACTCAAATCCATTCACAAAGTGTGTACCTAACACATTCAGGAGCTTTGACCAACTTCCCAAAGCTATGAGAGGCATAAGGTTATGGAAGAATTGTTGAGGAATTGGTTATAGGTGTAGGGTTGTTGATGCTAAGGGTAGGGTTAAGTTTGGGTGTTTTAGGGCTACTCAGGGTGGAAGTTAGAATTAAATTTTTTGTTATGGATCAGAAATAGGTTAGATTAGGTGTTGGGTTTTCGATTAGCCAAACAGAGCAGGTTTGTATGAAGAGTTAAGTTAGTGTTAGGGTCAATGTTACCGTATGATAATGGATTGGTTAGAGAATGGGTTAGGGATCTGGTGAAGTTAGGAGTTATGGAAGGGATTAGCATTTGGATTATGGAATGGGTTAGGCTAAGGTTAGGTTTATAGAGAACATGTTTGGGTACTTATACGTTTGGGGCAGATGTAAGGTTACCTGTGTTGTGCACACTTTAGGGTACTTGTAATACTCGAAGTACATTTTAGAGTACTTGTAGGATATATGTAAGTGTTTAGAGCTTGTATTAGAGTGTATGTTTGGATATGTTTTATGGTTACAGTTTTTTAGAGTATGTGTCAGGGTGCTTGTTAGAGTACATGTTATGGTATATGTTAAGGTCAGGGTTAGAGTATGCTAGGGTACATTCAGGGTACATGTAAGGTTACGTGTATGGTTTATAGAGTATGTGTTAGGCTATTTATAACCATATGTGTTAGTGTCTAGAGTATGTGTAATGTATTAGGGTGCTATAGTGAAATCTGTTAGGGTTAAAATACATGTTAAAGTTAGGTTCAGGGTTAGTTTGGGAACGGGCAAGGAAGAACTTTGTGGGATGGGTTAGGATGATGGATATGTTATGGAGCGGTCTTCAGAGTGGGTATGGAACAATTGAGGATTAGGTAATTAGTTAGTAAAGGGTTAATGTAGGTTTGGGGAGTTGTAGAAAGTGTTAGTCATACAGTTATGGATTTGGATTAGCAGCTGGTTTAGGGTGAGGCATAAGATTGCTGAGTGGCTTAGGGTATGTCTTAGGGTATGAGTGTGGGCTAAGGCACATGTTAAGATGTGAGTATGGGTTCAGAGTTAGGGTGTATGGTGGGGTACATGTTAGGGAACATGTTAAAATAGTGTTTGGGTTTAAGGTACATTAGGGTACATGTTAGGGCATGCATTTAGGGTAGGTTTGGGGTACATGTTAGGGTGCTTGATTCTGTACATATTAGTGGTTAGGGTATACATTAGGGTACATGATACAGTTATGGTAAGTGTTTGGGATTGTTAGGGTTATGCTATGTGTTAGGGTTAGGTATGTGTAAGGGTACATGTTAGGGTGCATGTAAGGATCACTTGGAGTATGTGTTAGGGTACTTGTTAGGTACATGTTAGGTATGTGTAAGAGTACATGTTAGGATGCATGTTGGGTACATGTTAGAGTGATGTAAGGATCACTTGGAGTACGTGTTAGGGTACTTGTTAGGATACATGTTCATGTTTACCATACATTTTAGGGTTGAGGCACACTTTAAGGTACATAAGGTGTTAGGGTACATGTTTGTGTGTGGATTCAGGTTAGGGTATATGTTAGGGTATGAGTATGAGTCAGAGTTAGGGTGTATGATGGAGCATATGTTAGGGAACATTTTGGGGTACATGTTAGGGTTAAGGTACATGTTAGGACTAGAGCCAGCACTAGGTTGTGTGTCAGGTTATACATTTGTGGTACATGAAGGTTACCTGTATGGTTTAGACCATGTATTAGTGGTTAGGGTATTTATTAGAATACGTGTTAGAGTATGTGTTTGGGTTAGGACATGGGTTAGGACATATGTTAGGATATTGGTTAAGGTGATGGTTTTGGTTATTTTTTGGGCACGTGTTAGGGTATGTGTTGGGTTACATTTCTAGTACATGTTAGGGTGCTCGTAAGGGTACCTAGGCTTAAGAGCACATGTTAGGGAACTATGCAGGCTATGATGTTTCAGGGCACATGTCAATATTGTGTTAGGTTTACGATGTGTGTTAGGGTATTGCTTAGGGTTAGTGTTAGGGTACATTTGGGGTACATGTTAAGGTGCTTGTAAGAGTACCTGATGTGTTAGGGTACTTGTTACTGTGTGTGTTAGTGGTTGGGGCACATGTTAATATACATGTTAGGATTATAGTATGTGTAAGGGTATTAAGGTTTGGGTTAGTTTTTGTGTGAAGGTGTGAGGGTATATGTAAGGGTAACTGGGTTAGAGTACATGTTAGGGTCCTTGTTACCATATTTATTAGTAGAGTATGGATTATATTTTGTTAGGGTACATTCAGGGTATACTTGCGGTTTATAGAGTACATGTTTCAGTACTTGTTACCATATGGGTTAGGGTCCAGAGCATGTTTAGTGCATTACAGTGCTATTTGGAAATCTTTTAGGTTTAATATACGTGGTAAAGTAATGGCACACATTAGGCTATGTGTTTGGGTCCATGTTAGGGTATGTTTTAGAATTAGGGTACTTGATAGGGGATTTGTTAGGGTTACAGTACATGTTAGAGCACTTGTTAGAGTGTATCTTATGGCAGATACTATGGTATGTGTTAGGGCATCTTTTAGGCTTAGGGCACATGTTAGGCTGTGTTATGGACCATTGGGGATACATGATAGGGTGCATAAAAAGATACTTGTGTGGTTTACAGTACTTATTAGGGTATGTTAGGGTACATGTTAGGGTACATGCTAGCTTATGTTTGAGTCATGTTAGGGTACATGTATGGATACTTGTATATTTTACAGTACATGTCAAGGTACTTGATAGAATACATGTTAGGGTCAGGGTTAGAGTATATTAGGTGATTTCAGGGTACATGTAAGCTTACCTGTATGCTTTATAGAGTACATGTTAGGGTACTTGTTACCATTTATGTTAGTGTCTAGAGTATGTTTAATGTGTTAGAGTACTAGTGTGAAATCTGTTAGGGTTAACATACTTGGTAAAGTTAGGGCACACATTAGGGTGTATATTAGGTTACTTTGGGGTACACGTTTGAGTGAGTTTAAGAGTACTTGCATGGTTTTGAATAAGTGTTAGGGTGCTTGTTAGGATATGAGTTATCATTTGGAGTGTATGTTAGGAAACGGTATGTGTTGTGCACGTGTTAGAGTACACATGACTTGAAGTACACATGCCTTGAAGTACACATGAGGTTACGTTGTAAGATATGTGCACATGTTTAGAGTGTGTGAGTACATGTTTGAGTATGTGTTGGGGTTACAGTTATGGTTTGGGTTAGGCAACATGTTAGGATGTGTGTTGGCATAAGTTTAGGGTACTTCTTAGGGTATATGTAAGGTTTACAGTACGTGACAGTGGTTAAGGTACATGTTATGTTTAGGTTACATGTCAGAGTATCTTTTAATTTCTATCTTAGGGTATACATTAGAGTGTTTGGGGTACATGCTAGGGTACATGTAAGAGTACCTGTTTTGTTCAAAATTCATGTAAGAATAATTGTTACCATACATGCTAGTATCTTGAGTATATGTTATAATATGTGTTAGAGTAAGGGTAAAATTTTAGTAGGTAGCAGGTTTGTGTTAGAGGTCGGGTATGTGTTAGGGTTTAGGTATGTCATGGTTTAGGTTTTCGGTATGTTTGGTAGGATTATGGTATATATTAAGACCACATGTTAGGGTATTGTTAAGACACATTGTTGTTTGGGTGTATGTAAGGGTGCGTGTATGGTTTAGACTGCGTTAGGGTAATTGTTACTGTACGTTAGTAATTAGGGTACATGTTAGGGTTAGAGTATGTGTTAGGATACATGTTAGGGTGAAGTTATGGGTTAGGGAACATGTTAGAGTATATTGGGGGGTACATCTTAGGGTACATGTGTGGTTTGCTGCACGTGTTCAGGTATGTGTTAGGGTTTGGGTACATGTTAGGGTTCAGGTACATGTAAGGGTTAGCACATATGTTAGGGTATTTCTTAGGGCTATGATTTGAGTTAGGGCATGTTTGAGGCACATGTTAGTGTTCAGGATTCCAAACCTGTATGGTTTAGAGTGTATGTTAGGCCACTCCCATGGCCTCAGCCGTTGTGGGGTTGGTTTGCTCAGAGTCTTTGCCCTACCCTGCTCAATGGTGTGAGCCCTGCTATGCCCAACTTTGGGGGAGACTGGAGACTGGAATGAGCAGTCAGCTGTGCTTTCACTCTGTTCA